ATAGTTGTGTAAGATAAATATTTTATAGTTAAGGATGAGTAAAGTTGTTTCTTTCAAAAATGTTGTCTCTGATTGACGACGTATTTCCACCCTGGGGGTGCACGAATCTTTGCCCATAGACTCTTGTTAAAAGTTGTACATGCACAGTAACTTCCCTTCCAATACAAAAGATAGGAAGATTCTGGGCGTACCATTCCTGCGCCCAGAGTACGGGTGCACAGTATGGATCATGCATCCAGTCCCGGAACAGATTGTGCAGTGACGCTCACAACCAGGCTATGTGTGAGAGATTAGCTGCTGCAGGTAGGCTTTAAGCCATTGAAAGCTCTTTATCTAATGCCTATGTTGCCATTTCTGACTGATATTTCTCTCAACTTTTAGATGTCTCTGTTTGTGAAAAAGCCTTCAACTGACTGTGTATTCTAAAAGTGGGAACTGATGAGTTTGTTTGTTTCTGGAGCTAGTATGCTAGCGCTAGCCTCCAGGTTATTGTATTGGGTTGAGTTCTATGCTAAATTTGTGCTATATTGCTACTTGAATGTGCTTATAGAAAAAATAATTATCGAACATTGATACTTTTCTATACTAAATGTCAATGATGGTATTATTCTATTATTTCTGAACACCTGCATTTCTATTGATCTGGGTAATGAAAAATAAGCCTCTTGCAATAAGTAACTAGCTCCTAGTGTTAACATTGAAGCATTTAAATTTAAGATACATTTAAATGGTGAAAGACTATTGCTATATTGTGTGCTAAGATGCAATATTAGGACCTTTATTATTAGGAATATGTAAGAGTACTCAAATAATGAGCTTGATTACATGTATTGCTTATATTTATGATGGTTTCTGATATTGATAAAACCAAGGGTTATTGATTACTAGGTCTGCTTCACACAGGCCAGGTTCCTGTCTATTGCAGAGGATGGTGAGCTAACCCTAGTTTCGAACCAGGAATTCGACTGAATACCCATAACTCCTTCCAGTGCTGTAGGAGGTGCTTTTAGCCAACAGCTACATTCTCATTCTTACTCTGGACTGTATGTATACATACATATAT